CTTTTTTTTTAACTTTGTATATTTTTTTGTACTTTTTTTTTTTTTTTTTTTTTTTTTTTTACTTTTTTTCTTGATTTTTTTGTATAATTGGAACAAAATGGTGCAATACTCAATGATAATCCTTGTATTGGATTATTCCACAATAAAAGCCACTATAAGGTAGATAACTTTTTACAGATAGAATGAAAAAAAATCCATTAAGTCCTTGAGTAAACATGTACACATGAATTGTCACCATCTCCCCTCCGTACTTAGACTCGTTTATCTACGATTAGCTGAGTGAGGGGTAGAAGACACTCAGTGCAACGTTAGAAGATAATAACAATGTCTATCAGAATAGTTTTTGATAGAACAAACAACAACAAATAAAAGATAAAAACACAAAATATAACATACTGAGTGGAACATAACAGCAGGCCATGTGCCCTGTACACACACAGTTTCTTGCGCACACATTCATACAAACATCTGACTTTCAAGCACACATCTAAGATGACTTTTGCATTTTTTTTTCAGAGATTTTGTATTTGTAACTTAATGCAATAAATTTTTGATATTCTCTAAAAGCCCCTAAGTGTACCTGTCAGATGGAGAGAACAAGAACAAGAATTACTGACTTCACATTACGTTATTGGCGCTCCATGATTCAAGTATTTGTGTTCAATATTTTGTTTTGTTTTGATATGTTTGTGATTTTTTATCAACTGGGTAAAATATGCATTACACCAGATGATTCAGGTTGGGCTTTTAGACAGGCTAATTAACAAACAAATACACATATATACAGTACAAGCACTTCAAAGTACTGTATTATGTCATCAAAACCAGAACGTGCATATCCAAACTCTATAGAAGAAAGACGCAGCTTTCAATCAATCAAGTATCAGTTTACACCCGACCCGAATTCTTTCCTTCGTATCACTTATTTGCGGGGAAAATACATATTGCTCATTTTCAGTTGTATGAAACCAAGACCTATCAAACAAAAAATGAAAAGTTTCAGAGGTTACGATCCAAGAAGTCTGAAGAGGTGATACCACACACCGTACTTGCAGTATATATATATATGTAGTGTATACATACAGTATATACTGTTATCTAGAACAGAGCTGTAGAGAGGAGAGCCTCTCGATGCTGGTGCAGCATGGGAAACCCCCTTCACTGTCAGGGTTCTCCAGTTAGTACAGGATGCTGGGAGGTCCTCGGCTATTGGGTCTGTCTGAGCTTGGATCAAGGCAGTTACAGAAACAGGCAATAGTGATTTTTGCTTGTGTGCTGCAGGACTGCAAGTCCTGAAAGGTAGCCTTTTCCCGTTTTCTTGTTTATTTATTTTTTTTAATTTTTAAACTTTTTTTTTTTAATTTTTTTTTTTTTTTCAAATGTTTTTAAGACTTTGTACCTCTTGAAATGCACCCCTCCCCTCTTGCTGATGCAGAGTGAGGGGAGTGAGGCTGATACAGTGGGCCCAAGCCATCTGGGTCTGTGGAAATGTACAGTTCAGTGGGCCTGCTTTGAGCAGGACACAAACATAAAAACGAGATAAATACAGCATCCACAAAAAGGCACCCCGGCCACCAGTCTACTCCTTTAGATGGTGGTAGTAGAGGCTGCTGACCGGAGACGTTTCAGCTAGAAGTGCAGAGCTTTAACATATTATAGATCTTTTTTTTTTTCATTTAGATTTTTTAGCATTTTTAAGATTTTTATGTCAAACTTCATAAAAATGACATTAAAATGCGATTTCATTTTTGGTTTTAAAAAAATATGTACCCGGGATTACCCATCAGCAACTGTGCACTGTAGCAAACTGGAACCCCCAACTGAGTAGATTTTCTCCTTAGCATGGGGCATTCCCCACAAAAGCATTAAAAAAAAAAATCTCAGTCATTTAAGGGTGTGATGCTGCCGCCCATTTGTTTGATCCCTCCTGTCCCCCGCTGCACCCTCCGCAAAGGTTATCAAAGCTCCTCCAAACAGGGAACAGAAGTGCTGTCTACAAAGACACAGTATGACACAGCAAATTTATATTGGCACATTACGTTGGCATCTTTTACATGCAATAATAGGCCCCCAAACAGTAACTATAGGCCTTTTAAGAAAAGGCTTGAATACAAGCCTTTTCCTTTCCAATTAGGATTAAGTTCGAGGCATGAGGTCTGTACATATTGTTGCGCAGATGGCCTTTTAATTTAAGACTTCACTCTCACAGTAAAAAGGACAGATACGGAGAGCTGCATCTCATACTTGGTATCATCAACTCCCCTACCCTGAGATCAAGCTGGACAGAAGTGTCTTCAGCGCAGAGAGAAAGGCCGACCTTTGATAAAGTGTTCGGACTTTAGTATATGACAGTGTTCTGGTGGCTTAGCCTGACTTTACAGAGACAGTGGCCATTCTGAAGTGCTGACAGGAGCGCGCGGGGGACAAGTGTTAGGGTTTGCCAAGCTCTGGGAGGAGTGCTCATTCCCAAGTCAGGTTTGGCGTGCTGTAAAGGGCCCCAGCCTCTAGTCTTTTGCATAGAAACAGATACGAGGGCCTGTTGGTGCCTGGTCAGGGGAGGGCTACTGGGTCTGGTTGAGGTGGAGGAGGAGAGGAGGTTATAGCGTAGCAGCTAGGCAAAGGGTAAGGGGGGACAGCCTGCGGGCAGGCGGAGCAGCTTGGAGCGACAAACACCCACACCCTATTTTTTACACATCTCAAGATACTACCTGGAAGTACTACAGAATACTGTCAAACACAAAAGCATGATCAGTTAAAAACAAATAGACAATCAATAACGGTCTGTAGTATTGATCCTCGTTTTGCATTCAATACACAGGATGAACATACAGAGGCACCTCTGACCAAAGTGTTTCTGCATATGAACAGTGAAGGGCTAGTTCAGCAGCCAGTATTTTGTAGACCACTGCATGTAGACAAAAATTAACAATAGAACACACTGGAAAAAAATAAAGTCAAATGATCTTTCAAAAAAAAAAAAAAAAGTACACTGGCAAAAAATCCAGAAATATGACTATTACATCTTCCAGCTAAAGTGATCTTTGTGTCAAAGAACTGAGTGATGGGGGAGAGGGCAGGACGACAGTAGGGTCGAGTGGTGGCGGGCCCCCATTGGAGATGCCGTTTGTGGCAGAGAACCGTGATTGGCCAGTCTTGGAGGAGCCGCTTTCTTACCAGACTGAGGGAGGGTCAAGTGGAGCCCAGGAGCAAATGGCGCTTCCGCTTGACACCCAGAGGACCACAACAGAGAGGCACTCAGTGGACACTCGCCCTCCCCACCCCACTCTGACTCACTCACTGACTGACTGGCTGGCTGACTGGCTCACTGGCCAGCAGGTGTCAGAGACAGCTGACGTTGCAAGTCGAGTGCCTCCAAACAGAACAAGGCTAAACATTTGGAGTAACAGTGATATTCACTTTGATAAAGTTCAAAGAAGAAAAAAAAAATATAGACTGCAGTTTTTTCCCCAAAGTCCAATGGTACATTTCAGTTTTGTTTCCCTTCATCCTGCTACCAGAGGAACAACGCCAGACACATTTCCAAGTAATAGATACAGTACATAAAAGAGCAGGATTTTTTTGTTGTTTTCAATGTTTTTGCTGCTCCTTTTTTGATTTATTGGATTGCAGTTGAAGCGATTTGCTCTTCATAAGTGCTATGATAAAACCCTTTGAATTTATAAAAGTCTTAGTCTCTTCTGTTTGTACAGTACCAAACGCAAGGAACACTCGTAGGTCTACTGCATTAGGAGAAACCCCTCTTATTTGGTATTGTGCCAGATACCCAGAACCATCCGATCCCGCTGTGGATTCAGTCTCTGTTGGGTGTGGCTGTGGCACGCAGAGAGGAAGTGTGCATTGTTGAGTACCCAGTTTCACTCTTAAGTACAGTTTGCTGCATGCACAGCTGCTTCTTCCTCTTCGCAGAGTTTTCCCAACAGTTTCAGGGGGACTGGCGGCCTGGAGGGAATCCAAGTTTTGAAAAGGGGGGTAAGTTTTTTGAAGTTCCAAAGTCTTTTGCTGCAATCAGCAACAATCAAAAAAGAGAGAAAAGAAAAACAAAAAACAAAAGAGAAACCAGCTCCGGTGGACATCGAGTATGGACGGAAGAAAGGTCTATGGTGTATATTGCACAATGAACTGTCTCATCAAGGTGAAATTGTATTCTCCCCCCCCACCCAAAAACTGGCTGACCATAGACACCACTGGGCTTCATAACAAATTGGACAATATAAAATTCAACAAAGCACCAGTAAGCGACTGGGTTCCAAGTTGAAGGTGACCAGAAGGATCTGGGCTTGCAGACGTCAATGATTAGGTGCCACCGGACATACATAGTCATGTATGGAAACGGAAACACGCAACGAGGTTCACAAATAATCTTCTCTCAGCTTATATGTTGTGATAGATATCAAAAATGCGCTCGGATCTAAACCTACAAAAAAATAACAAAACAAAAAAAAAAAACATTTAATAGCTGAGTCAATCCCTTTGAGAAGACAAAATAATTAAGCTGATGATTGGTAGGGCCAGTCACGTGGCCAGGCCTTCTTACTGCCAGTGACAGAGTTGGTCACCAGTCGTGTCCTGTACCACTTGCTGGCTCAGAGGTGAAACTGTGCAAGATTTCAGCTATTTCTTCAGTTACAAAACAAACTAAAAAAGGCGGCTTGGGAAGGACCTGGGCCAGAGAGCACTTAAGGCTAATATTAGTGCTGAGAAACAAATGTTAACATAACTAGTAAAGGTCTTTGAACCACATCATTGGCCATGGACATGCTGGGAATGGTCGTTTTAAGTCTTATTTTGGGATGATTTTTTTTCTTTTTTTGGAGGGAAAAGGAAAGTCTCAGATGGCAGCTTTGATTGCTTCTCCTAAAAACACTTCACACAGAATGTCATGTATACTTATGGAAAAACTAAAAACACTTAAAAGGTTTCTTTGTGTTGTGTCTCATTTCAGTTTGTTTTATATGATGCATTTCAAAAATACCAAAAGGAAAAAAAAACGTGCTTTTTTTCCCAAAAAAGGTAAACCAAACCAAAATAAAAACTACAAAAGTAAAACAGAAGGACTGGAGTCTGCAGTCTGTGTGGTGGGGACCCCCTCCTTCTGAATCACAATTCACAGTTCAAAAAGGTTCAAATTGATACTGATTATCACCACATGATTTGCTTGGGTTTTGCTCCTGTTCATATTGAAATTTTTTTTTGTATGTTTTGTTATTTTTTTCCCCACCCCACCCTCCACTGATGGTGGTGGTGGTGGGTTGGTTGGTTGGTTGGTTAGTGTATTGTGGCATCATCCTACATGGACTCCCCACTCAGCAGATCTCCAGGCAGAAGGGTGTTTATGGGGGTGGGGCTTCCGATCACACGGGCGTCCTCTCCGCTCGGCGGTCCCCACAGGCTAGAGTACTGGGGCACCCCGCCCCACAGCAGGTCACCTCCGCTGGCCTTGCCTCCACCGCCACTGTTGCTCCACTGGCCAATTGAGTGGGACTGCGCTGCCCCGCCCATCCGGTTTTGATTGGTTCCGGGGTTGGCCTGCCAGCTAGTGGTGTTTGCCCCTAGCGACTGACCTTGTGCAAAGAAGCGGTTCACCTCCTCCTCGCCGGCAAACTCTGCCAGGATGGTGGTGTTTCCAAGCACACACCTTACATAGGACAAAAGGGGATATCATTGACCTTACAATGAAAAGGAACTTGTAGTTTGTCAAGAGCTTGCTCATTCTGATATGCTTTTTCATGCACTGCCTTAACAACATTTTGTGCAGCTAGTACTTAAAAGTAGGTCACATGTCTTGTATTTTGTTTCCATGACAACCAGTTGCTACCATTAGCAAAACAAAATTAGGGACAAATCTTAAGACTATTACAGATAAAGCACAGACAGTATGCCCCCAGACTGGCTCTACTCTGGTATTTTGTCCCATTTCACTTTCATGATTACAATAATGACTGTTAAAATTAGAATATAGCTGACTGCAACATGACTCCCCAACCTACTCTTTCATGTGACTGCCCAAATACAAAAATAACTTTGTCTGCACTCATCCAAAAGCGGCATTGTTCTCAGTATCGGAAAACCCCAGTAAGAACCCAGGAACTTTTTCAGGTTTTTCCCATTTTATTTCTCAGTTACAGTTCCTTCATTTTAATATGAAAAAGGAAGCCACATTTAAAAGCAAAAAGGTGGAAAAATGAATTTAATGTCAGCTTCCTAAGCCCATGCTAGCTGATGACAGAGATTTTGCTGAGGCTTACATGTGCAGAGACTTCTGGGCCTTGGCGGCCTCGTCCTTGGAGCTGTAGCGCACCACGGCGTTACCCTGGGTCAGGTTGAGGTGGAATGTGATCAGGGGGCCATGCTGCATGCACAGGGTCCGCAGAGTTGAACCATCAATCTGGAGCACAGAAGAAAACCAAAGTGCAAAATAATTGCAATTTTAAATTCAACTTTCATTTTTGTCCTTTTTTGTTTTCTTTCTTTTTTGGAGTGGTTTGTTTGAGTATTCTTGCACCGACACTTTACTTTCCCCACTTTATCTCACTTCAGTCATTTTACTTTAACTTTCTCACCTTTGCAAACAAATAAACAACATGAAAGCATTTCATATCACACAACTGAAAGCACAAGAACACGTTTGTTCTACTTGCATCCTACCCTAAAGCCATCAGATGAATCACTACTATCTTTGAATTCTGCATGTTTACATGTTGCCTCTACTCATAATACAGTGTGGCTTCAATCTAGCTAAGGGTTAACATCACAGAGTACGCACTTGTGGGGTGAGATTCCTCAGCACCAGCCAGCTGCTGGTCCTGGTAGAGCTTTCAGTACTCCAGGTGGCTCCCTCTGTAAGAGAAATGAAGACACAATTATATATAATGTAAAAAAAAAAGTAAGATTTTCTGTGACTCTGTTAATACAGGCTATTGCCTTTATATTACAGTAATTTGGGTTAATGTTAAAATTAAAAACAAGTTGGTCTAATATGCAAATGTATGATAGAGAGCCTTTCAAAAGCACAGATAGTAAAAAGAGAGTATCTGACAGATTTCAAGTGACAGTGGTCTCATAATGTAATTCTAAAAGTATCCAAAAGTAATTCTAAAAGGGAAACTGTATATTTCATAATGTAATTTTCTTAAGTATGTGTGTCACGCTTTTTCAACATGGTGCAGGAGCGCTGGGGTTGATGACAGAGTTTAAAACAAAGGAAAACGTGACACACTCAACTGATTGTTATCTACTTCCATGCACGACTCTTGTCTGTGCTACTAAGAGTGCTCTTTCCTCTTTGATCTATATGAACGAAGACGTGTCATGTCAAAACAAGGTCACATGTATGATGTTTAAATGTGGCTTTTTGCTGAGCCGGTAAACCTCAAAATGTCAGTTTAGCAAGGTGTGTTCAGCCAGCACTTTGAAAGCGAGTACAGAGTCGCAGCTTTGAACTACACCACACCTATGCATTTATAGTCATGTCTGCGTTTGCTAGGTGTGAAATACATTATAGCAAGATATAGCAATAGTCTTCAGTTCCTCATTTACCACAGATGTTGTAAATAGCTTCAGCTATTTGAGAAAAATTCTTAGTTGCAACATGATATTTGTTTCTTAAAAAGTTAGTGGATTTATATTGTAAATATAATAAGATATATTAAAGATATCTTGTCCATATAAAGAGAAACACCTCAAAATAAAACCTGAGACTCACAATTGTTGATAAACTTTGTAATATTTCACAAGTACAGGATTAATTTGGACATACACAAGTAGATGCAAATTTTTTTGTATCTATTTTTTTTCCACTTTCTTTCAATATTATGCTTTGAACTGCAGGTTGATTGAATTGTCTGAAGGAACGGTGCATGAGTTTGTGACCAGTGTGAAGTAAGTCCCATTAAGTGCTTCTCATAAAAATGAGTGCTCACCAGAGGAGTAGGAGCCGCTCCAGCCTTGGGCCAGACCCAGTGAGTTACCGCCCCATGTGGAGGAGGGCTTGGTGTTGGTGAGGCCTGGTGGGGGCCGAGAAGGTGCCACGGAGTTGCGAGGTCCCTGGGGGACTTTCCACAGCTCATGGGACAGAGAGCCTTGGCTCTGGGAGATGGGCCCTGGGGACCAGGTGGACTTCATGTCAGACAGTTTACCTTTACAGAGAGAGGATGGGGAGATGGACAGTTGAGAGAATAAAGTTAAAGACAAAGATGTAGAGATAGAGCTAAAATAAATAAATAACACCTATGTTTAGAATTTGAAAATTTGGCACTCCATTAGGGGTAGCATTAAAAAAGTCTCTGATGCAAACAGCAATGCAAGCCACTAATTCCTTATTTTCCATACTTAATTTCCCCCAAAATGATTCTGGCTAAAATTTAAAAATATGTTAAGACATACCAAAGTATTCTTCTCAATCTTGAAAATGTTGATGATTTATTTGAACTAAATCAGATAAAACTCACTGCACCCACCAGAAATATTTATGTTTCAATAGTGAAGCAACACAAACACACACACACAAACAAAACACAGGGTGTGTACTGATGTCATGACCGGCTTGGGTGAGGCTGGTATTTTTGTGGGTTGGATCAAAGAGGCACAGATGGCTCACATTTAGGTGAGGTTGCTGTCTTAGTATCAGTAAAGGCGTTGACTAAAGGCACTGAGGGAACAAGTTTAGGTGTGATTTGGAGTAAGAGAGGTCATGAAATAGGTCAGGGTTTAGGTAAGGTTTAGAATAAGTAAGGAGCCTAAGACAGTGTCTCGTGACTGTCTTAAGGCTATTAGGGCTCCCATTTGGGTGAGGAGGGATTTAGCAGGTCCACACAGGGAGGCAAGATACTCTGGATGTGTACCTGAGCTGTCCCCATCACAGGATGACAGACTGAAAGAGCTAGAGTAGTCACTGACTGGCCAGTCACTGCTGGTTGGAGGCAGAGAGCCATTCTGAAGTGGTGGAGCTGGGGAAGTGGCTATATGGTTGTAGAGTAACAGTGTTGTGGGCAGAAAGAAAAAGAAAACAAAAAACAAGTAACTTCGTGTCAGCATCAGTACAAGCACAATACTGGGTCCTGTGGTGGAGTACAGATAGTAACATGGGTCAGCTTGTCTAAGTGAGTATTCATTTGCATCAGAGTCACTTTACACGGCATGTTTTTGTCAAGTGTTAGGGGTTGTCTTTTATTGATATTTAAGGTTATGCTTCTGTTCATACCTCCATTTCTGTCCCGCAGCAGGTATCGGTTGACATCGTGGATGTTGGTGTTGATGGTGGGACCGCTGGGAACGCTGCCAGGGGTCATGTTGGGGTCATTCTCAGGGTCGATGTTCTGAAGGCCCTTCCATGGCACACCTGGGCAGAACTCTAAGAGCAAAAAATAAAGTGCTGAATAATGTTTTTTTTTTTTTTTTTTTAAACACAACAACATCAAATCTTATAGAACTTTAAGATTGCCATCACATGGCTTCGTAACAGTTTAAACAAAACCAGAAAAAAACTCAAATAAACTTGCAAAAAACATTCATCGCTCTTTTGCAGTCAACTTTCAGTGTACAATGCTGATTGCAACCCTCTCAGGTTTGACCATTACAAAAATAATTCTCCAAGTAGCAGCAACTATAAACCAGTTATGACTCCTAAAAATGTGCAATATTCTTTATTTATATTTTCTCCTCACCTGGGGGCCAGTTAATGTTGGTCCCATTAGAGATCTTTTCACTGGGGCTCTTGCCCTGGCCCCAGCTGTCTGGGGGCACCAAGGGGCTGGTGGGGGACTCAGAGCTGGATATAAGATTGTAAGGGCTGTATGAGTCCTCCAGTTGGGGGGGCTTCCCAGGGGGGCCCAGGGTAGAGGCAGCAGATATGGCACCTACAAGACAAATAAGAGACTAAATTGAAATCACTATTAAATTAATTACATTTTAAATTAGATTAGATTAAATTAGAGTGAATACAAAAATACTGTTAAATGCATAGATTATAGGAATTATATTGTATGCCAGACTTTTTTTGAACTTACTTTTGTTCATAATATCAACTTTAATAAGTCATTACATAGGCAAACACTAAAAATACAGATTGAGGGCTTTTTCAGAGTTAAATGTCACTGGTGTAATATCACTGGTGTGATGTCTACAATAAAATAAGATTACTGATACTCTGAATCTCTTTTAAGGCCATCAACACATGTTTCTATAGTGCATGGAAAGGAAAAGAACTGAAAAAGGATAACTGTTTGTTGCAGATAGATCCTAATCAAAGTGAATGTTTGCTGGCAGGATGTGTGGAGGAAAAAAAAGGCGCATGTGTGATGATATCTTAAATGTTAAAATGGAAACTGTGGGAGTCAATAAGTTAGTGTCAGTTAGCCATTTACTCAACTCACGACACAGTCCAAATGTGCCTTTTTTCTGGAGATTACATTTGAAAATTGTGTATTATAGGTCATATATACGTGGACTTAATATTTCCATGTACATGTTCCCTTTGAATGGTGCTGGCACTGACTATGTTACAAACTAAGCCTGTTACTTAAAGACTCCACCCATTAAGCCACCAAAGACTAGGCTGTCACAGTTTATCATGTATCTCTATGGTATTTGTGACCAAAGAGCTTGAAGAGTGTGAGTCTGAGACTGAAAGACCTGTATGCTGCAGTTTGCCTTCTTTACTGTATTTCATTTACTGGTATTTAATTCTAATTCAAAGATGAACACACTTTTTTGGTTATTTTGTTTTGAAAAAAATAAATTTACTTTATCTAACCATGTTCAGAGGTGAAAAATACCATACATCTACTACTGCACAGAACGATCAGGGAGTGTAAAATGGAGGTTTGAGTGAGATCTGGGGTGTGTACCAGTCTATAAAATGTGGTGTCAGGGCTTCCATTTGGATGAGGAGAGGTTTAGCAGGTTGTGAAACTGAAAAATCATGAGCAGCCTCTAGTTGACCTGTCTCTGCTAGTGTAGAGCACTATGATACCTAAGGTGTTATTGGAGGTGTTATTAAGTGTACAGAGAGAAGGTTTCTGAGTGAAAACAAGCTAGTGTCATTTGTTGAATTTCTCACCTGCAAACAAGTCAGAGAGGCTGAAATTAGTTAGGGTGGGTGGGTGACATTATCAATTATGATTTTAAAGAGGTTTTACAGTACTTGAGAAAATCACTGCTGTTATCATAAAACCTGTATTAAACTTAAGTAGTTGTTAGCTATGAAATCTCACTTTTGCACAATTTTTTTCTCTCAGTATAGAAAGGACTGTATCAAATCTGTTTAATGTGTACATTTATTTAAGATGACATGGAAATAAATTCATATGATAACATCATATATGTGAAATGTCCACAGTAAAGCTGGTTTCATTTTTAACTTTTTATCACTGTATGGATTGAATGAATGTGTGCATGCTTGTCTGTGTTTTTCTGAAACATACCATGCTTATTGAGGTTGTTCTCCATGTTTGAGGAGTTGCCAGAGTCCATGGAGTTGGAGTGTGTCCACTGGGACAGGCGGGATTGGGGCTGAGGGGGTTCCTTCAGGGACAGACCCCCAACCTCCATGCAGTTTACATTCATGTTTGGATTCAGTCCAGCTGCAAACACAAAAATAACTTCTAAATAAATGAAATAACATCTTTTTTATTTTATTCATAGTATGCAAGTTGGCAGTGGAAGATTTGTATCCATTAGCAAAAATCTAGTAAAAACAGCTCAAAAGAAAGCAGGAAATAACCACCTTTTAATTACATGAAAGAACTGTTCATCGATCCTTGTTTAGGAGATGACGTGTTAATATGTTGTCAGAGGATAGAAAAACTTCAATGTGAATCTGCAGTACTCAGAAAAATGGCTAGTTGAATTTTTGTCTTTTGTTGGAAACATTCATAAGTGCTTCACATAGTTTATGACTTATGGGTGGCCACACTATACATTATGAGTACAGATGCATGCATGACAGGGTTGCTACCTAAAGAGCGGCAGAAGAAAATTGTTAGTCTCAACATGCAAGCTACATGTTGTCAAATTCACATTGTTTGAGCAAAAGTCACCATCAACCTGGTACTTTCCCTGTCCTAGACTCACAGAGAGGGTAGGTGCTGTAGGCGTTGGGCGAAGATGGCGGCTCTTTGGTGTGCAGTGTGTCGGCAAGGCCCGGAGCCTGGTGTGGGCCTGTGAAAGGGTCCAGGGTTGATTTGCCGGATCCAGGGCCTCCGGCGAGGCCACCAGGGGGATGCAAACCAGTGGAGGAGGAAGAGGAGGAGGAATGAGAGGGAAGTTGCTGCTGCTTCATCAGCAGCGCCTGGTACAGCTGACGCTGGTGCTGCTGGATCTGCTGCTGCATGTTGGTGATTGTACGTGCAACCTGGAAGAAAAGAGAGGGGAAAAGAGAGGGACTGTCACAACAATGTATCACAAAAGAAAGTGTTGGACAATGAGGGTGCGGAAAACAGAAGATTAATCACATTATATGATGGCAAAAGCAAGCTGGATGGAAAAATAATGAGAGAGAGAACAAGCGAAAGAAGGAGTGAGGAGGTAGGAAAAACAGCTGAGGTTAGAAGGAAAGGGATGAGAAAATAAGAGGATGAAAAGGTATTAAACAAATGAAAATAGGTAGAGAAAAGAAGCACAAACAGAAAACCAAGGAGAAAGGAGAGATGATATGGAAATAAAGATTATTAGGTTTATTAAAAGTTGTGAAAAATCATGGGAGGAGCAAGCACTTTTTCAAAAAAGCTCCTTCAACAGGCCCTATCTTAAAGACAGGCCACTAATATCTGTATAACAAAAAGAACAATCAAAAAAGGAGAACAAACTGGTTCTCCTTTCGTGAAAAGGAGAACAAGGGACTGACTAATGTTGAAAAGGAAGTGCCTGTGCAAATATTACTTTAAGTTTGAGCAACTTTTGTTTAACAATGTTTTTCCCTCTGTCATGTGAAACACTAAATATTTGTTGAGAAACAAGCTGCATCACAGTGTTTTCAGTCAGTGCTCATATGCGGTCACACACATGAAATAAGTAACTTTTACGATCATAAGTTTTGTGGCTGCAATGATGCATTTGTTGACTCACTTGCTGCTCTTGTTGTCTAATGGGCCCGGAAACATTGCGCTGCGCCTGCATCATCTGCTGCTGGATTTGTAAACGCTGGTACGCCTGAATGAAGGGAACCCAAAGTACAAAACATTAATAAAAAACACATTAATAGAGGGAAAACTTAAACACTATGAGAGAGGGGTCACCTGTTTTGTGTGTTATTTTCACCAATTTAGCTCTACTTTCTCATGTGTTTTCACATGGACACATTTAAGTCTTCATTGGATATTTGTCACTCATTGCAAATGGCAAAATGACAAAAAGTCAGATATGTTTTGTTATTGTGGTTTCATCTCCTTTCCATTCAAATTAGAGCCAGGACCACTTTAAAAAGTTCATGACACACATTCTCTGCTAAAAGCCTCTAAGTAAATGATGGGCTACAAATTAAACAATTGGAAAGAGGGATGCTGACTCACCATTTGCAGTTGCTGAAGTTGGTACAACAGGGTCATTTGTTGAGGGTTTATTGGTGAGGTTAAAAGTGCAGGGTTCAGACCTATGTTTTTTGCTGCAAACTGCAAGAGCTGTGCTTGGACCTGGAGGGAAAAGAAGAATGTGGAGGCAGAAATGGGAGATGACAAGTTAGTCACTGCAAATCACAACAACTGCACAAGAGCCGCTTCTGGCGAGGTAAAATTAGTCACTACTACATGTGTGCAAGGAGGTAAAGAGAAGCGAAAGGGACTGGCAGAGGAGGCTTGCATAGTCAAGAGGTTTTAACACTCCCAGTATTGTTACCAGACAATAACTTATAATGAGTTTTTATCGTCACAATATATTTCTGCTGCTTTACTTCTACAATTGGGAATTTTCATCAAAGATGTATGATACGCTGAAATGACATCACTGTGATGTAGCACAAATTACAGCCACATTCAGGGGACAGTTTTAATAGAATAAGACAAGGAATGAGAAAAAATGCAGACGATGCACTAGTTGAGAAATCTGTATTTACAATTTTGGGTGTCAAATTGTGTTCCCTGGTCAGAGTCAACCAACTTTAACCTGGTCCAGTGTGTTATGAACCGATATGGCTCCATGTTACACATCCAATATGTCCATTATTATGTGTGTGTCTCTACCTGAGGGGAGAGAAACTGAGGCACTTGAGCACGTAGACTAGGCTGGGAGGAGCTGAGAGGTGGCACAGGTGGCTGAGGAGGCTGCTGCTGCATGGCCCGGGTTTGTGCTGCTCCACTACTGCCAAACATTCCACTGGGTATCTATAAGTAAGAGTCATAAAGGCACCGTGAATCCTCTTCAACACATCCATAATTCACATTACTGAAGCTATTCTATGACATTTCTTAATTGAAGAGATGAGCTACCCAACTGGGAAGAAATGTGTGTATATGACCAATCCAACAAACAGATAAGTAAGGTCAAGAGATAAGTCTCCAACTGTCATGTCTTCATGAGTTTGATGGGTTCATTCAATACATGACTGAGTACACTTGAATTAGATGAAAAAAATGTTTTAAGGTGCACTCAAAAGCCTGTTGGGTCAGTGATATTGCCAGCCCACATAGCAATGCCAAAAAACATTTTTCAAAGCATTTATCCTCAAGGTCTAACTTCACACTACACCTTGTGCACCAAAGAATGTACTGAATACCAAGTGAGAGCAACCAGTTGTTTAGACCATGAAACTCTGACTATTTTCATTTTTCAAATAGCCCAAAACAATTAGCCAAGGGGTCTCCAACACATCGCTTGCAAGCTACTAGTGTCTTGCTCCCGTTTTAGAGTAGCTCGCCCAAAGGTTCAGAGAATATAGTATTTACAAACCATGGATTCACAGTACAAACATTAAGCAACTCAACCTCACTCAGTAAAACTGCTCAAAATGCTATAAAATCAAATACAGACATCCCACCCACATTCAACACCAGGTATTTTTTTGCTAAACAGTCGTCAGTCAAATGAGTTAGGCTGCTCTCAACTTTATTTATGTGCAGTCTTAGCATCTATTTTGGATAATGTTAAATTAAATGTTATAAATCCTCACTTATATGAACAGATGTAAACTAAACTTTTCCAAGCAGCAGGAAGTATGTTGTCATGGAATAAGTGAGTTACACTGTGGGTTGCATCATGAGCCCCCTTTTTTTTTTAAGCCTGCATTCATTTACATTGTGGAAAACAAAGCATGCTGAATTGGCTATTATAAGTTCATGTTTGCTATGTACTATTGGATCATTGGATTTACTGACAACTATAACGGTATTATTTTGATACTAAAGAAAATGTTGAAACGTGATGATTCCCAGGCGTTCTGAAGTTACAAGGAGCTTCTTTTTTCTCTTGATTTCTAGGAATATAGAATTGATGTTTATTTGCAATGGACATAATTGTATTCTTGGTAAAGTGTAAGTCAAACTGAATGTAAAAATATGTGTATCATGTCCGCGTGTTCAGGTTTGACAAAATTAAGACTGATTTTTTACATAAAAAATTGATACTCAAATTGACACTGTTGTGATGTCTGATGTGGGTTTAAGATTTTTTCAAAACATGAGTTTTGGATATTGATATTTGATGACAAGTTACATAAAAAACAGCTTATTCAGCTGGTTTGGTTTGGAGAGCATTTTTTGTGTTTTTATATGAATAAATGTATCTAGTAATATAAGACATGAGCAGCTCTTAGCCACTTTCAGTTTGTCAAAGTAGCTCTCAGAGGAAAAAAGGTTGGTGACCCCTGAATTAGCCTGTATAAGGCAGTTTTATCCACATTTTGGATTCCATGTTGCTGTTGCTTTCTGAAAACACAACAAAAAAGCCCGCTTACAGTGCCTTTGTTTGGGCTTCAAGGACATACTGGAGTTTTCTGGGCCATGGCTGCCTATGGGGGTGATATTTGATAGAGCTTAACTATCTGATTTCAATGGGCACTTCAGGCAAGGTCATACACACATAGTGAGCAACAGAAAAGTAGAGATTTAGGAGCGCATGCCGGTAGAGAGATGTGTGTGAAACAAATTCAATTTATGTTATTGCCATCATCGCATGATATACACTTAAATCCTGCACAAAGCCATTCCATTTCAAAATGATGGTAATGAAGTTGTGATGTGATAAACAGACTGTTGCTAAAATTGGGTTTTGCATTGAATAAGGTTTTGCTCTCAGTATATTTTGTTATTAATAAAGCAGCTGTTCAAATGCACTCAAGTACTTTGTTTTTCACTGTACATTAAAATGGAGGGAAAATGACAGCTGCAGGGTTAGCTTCTATATAGCATCAACTCCCACAGTCTGAACATTGTTAACTCAATATTAACAGAGTATTACAAGCTTCACCAAGGTAGGTTTTACTGCAGGTTTGTTATTTAAATTGTGTAACATTGTCAAGTGTTATATTTTTCAACTCAAGGTTCTGTGGCATTGTGTAGTGCAACTGTGTGTGCTCAGTGTGTTACCTGTCTGTTGTTCAAGTTTTGCATGGCCAGCCCCGGGTTGCCCTGTCCCAGACCCTGCCCAGGAAGGCTACTGTTGGCCAGGGGGAGCTTCAGGCTGGGGGAAGGCAGAAACGGTGATGGGGGGGTGTCATCTGACAGAACACCATCCTGGACCAGAGAAAAATAAATAGTTAATGAGAGAATGAAGAGATTAGAAAATAAAGACATTCAAATACACATTCCAAACATAAATGATTAAGTATGTGAAGATGGATTTTATGCTAATATGTGTACTGGTATTATCAGAGTGATATTAATAATAACTTTTTTTTTTTAAACCTTTCTTTGTAACACACGTCAAAATAGTTACTGTAAATCTATTAAAAAACAGCAAATGCCCACAAAATGATCAGTTGCTAATTTTTTTTTTTACTTTGTCAAGAAAGTTGTTGCGGTCAGAGGGGTCTTTGGAGAGTGCAGAGGGCCGACACACCAGGGGCTTGTTCATGCCGTTGCTGTAATCAGACATGCCCATGCCCCGCTTGTCCAGGTCCGTCTTCTTCTCCAACAGGGCGCCTGGGAACACAAAGGAGGATGTTAAAAGTTTTTATGAAATCTAGACATGGAAATACACTGCATGACAAAACCAAATATCACAATAATTTTTTAGGCACGTCATCTAATAAGTGATATGTTTTGAATGCATTTTTTCTTCAAGAAATAGCTATATTACATTAATGAAATACAATATATTTACTGATAAATGTATGGTTTGGTATAATTCCCAATCAAAGAGGAGATGTAGAAACAGTGTTAAGTAATGAATTAATTAATTTGAAAAATATGAAAAAAAGGCTTATTTATGCTGCTACACTGATTAAAACCATTTCATTTTAACGTTTTGCAATATATATGCAAGGACACACAGAAACATGTCGGTAAACTTACTCATGGCCTGGTCAAGGTTCATGTTGTTGCTTTTCAAAGCCTCCTCAGCAGGGTCTCTCTGTAACACATGGATAACATGCGCTTGTCAGTGCCCATGGTTTAATTGTAAGAAGGGTTATATTTGTGGCATGCTTGAGTAAAAACCTAAAAGAAAAGTCTAAAGAAAACTTATCAGTGGTATATATCAGTGTCAGAAAATCTTTCCAAATATTTTCTAAATATACCGGAAATCCCATGTCAGTGAGCTGTTTGATGAGACGGTTCATGATCCAGGCCTCATCTGGCTTGTTGCCCATCTTCCCCTGACAACACACAAGTGAAAATATCTTTAATTAATTTTACCAACAATTAAGTTCGTTCAAATAACAACAATTCCCAACATTATCATTTATCAGTATGTTTATGACAAAATCAAGTGTGTTCTCTGACCTTGCTTGGGCCTTTCTTGGGTCCATTTCCCCAGGAGTTGCACGAAGAACTGCTCTCCTGGGAGGTGGGGCTGTTCCACATGTCCCCATCCTCAGTGTCCCATTGGCCAGTAGACATGCCTATCTCCTCTCCTCCATTTCCCCAGCCATCTTGCATAGGTTTGGGGCCTGAGAGAGAGACATTAAACACGGAGTGAAAATGTGAGAAAATAATATTAATACATTCCGTGAATACATCTGTTAGTGTATCCTAAATGCACACTTAGAACACACAATCCATTTCAGAGGATGAGCAGCAGGTAATTTTCAATCTGACCACTTGGTGCCACTGTTGCCATTTGACATTGTACCCCCCCTCCCCAACATCTCCCTCAACCATTTCTAACATTTCAATCCAACAGCACAAATAACCAAGACCCACTGAGGCATGGAATTGCTTTAATCTTACCAACACACTAGCACTATCAAAGACCTTCAGAATTGGCACAAATAGTGCAGGTCTGAAGGAACTTCCTGTTTTTGTTCCCTTAACTGAAGTATGCTAGTGCACACACACTGGGAGTTATCGTCAATCAGTCTATTACAGAGGGTGTGGTACCACTGGACACAATCTGAATCACAGATGCCTATAATAACAATCATGCTGAGAGGCTGAAGCAGAAAAGCTACTTTAGATTTTACTAGCACCAGCACATATAATAGCACAGTAATCTTTTCTGTATGGCTCTGTATGGCTATTCTATGGTTTTATAGCAGCCAGAAGGGGTGTGTGCCCAGGAGTGTGATCAAAAACCGATGGCACTGAACATATTCCTGCATCTTGCTACAATTTAGCAATGCCGGGCCATGCTGCTTTTCTAATCATGCATCACTGTGTCAGCAAATATTATTCATCTGTAGGTGTTACCTGGTTTGCAGGGTGCAGAACCTGGGGGTCCGTTGGTCCTGCCATAGGGTCCAGAGGGCTCGTGGCTGCTGTCTCCCCAACCTCCCACTCCCCCTGGTGGCTTGCCCCATGCAGAGGTGCCATTGTCCACAGTTGATGTTGGAGCAGCTGGCTCTCCCCAAGCAGGCTCTGACTTGGGCTGAACACTAGGAAGCTCTCCCCAACCTGGAAGAAAGAGGGTAAATTAGAAAAAAAAATGATTCTTGATGCAGTAAAATCTTAATCCACTTGCAAGTTTTATCTTCCAGTTACACATCATTCCCCTAAAGTCCTTCCTTGAGTACTAAACAATGGAAGGATGCTCCCAAGTACTGTTCGAATTCAAGAGATGTCTGAAAACTCTTTCGCTTCAGACAGCTACTGCAAAAAACACTGCAGAGCTGAAAACTAATGAAGTTTCATCTCCTTTTTCCTCACATCGTCTTTTCAGGCCATCATGATGAGTTGTAGTGACATATTAATAAGAGAGATTAACATTAAGCTTGTCAGTTGAGACAGTGTCTAGTTATCTACATATAGAGGCCTTTCATAGCAGCCTCCTCCTGACAGCAGCAGGTCCCTGACCAGCTCGGTCTGGCTTGTCTGACTTGTCAGGTGGTGTGTGTGTGTGTGTATGAATGTGTAGGAGCTGGATAAAAGCAGCGGCTCAGGACAGCCAGTGCAAGATCTTCCAATCCCCCTCTTCTCTCTTTATTTATACTGGTTTCAGTAGAGATGGCTATTGAGGTATAACTGCTCAGCATAAATGTGTCTTAAATCGGTCATGATGTTATTTGATAGGTGTAGTGCAAATGGAAAACAGCAGAGGGCAACAGTCTCATTCACAACCAAAAGGAGAGAGTTTGGCTATTAAAGCTTTGCTATGCTTATATGCATGGCTTTTGTCTTCACAAAGACTTATTTGAACTGTCTGCAGCCCTAACTTCAGCTTGCAGTACAAATATTATAATTATGCATACATGACCATTACCAGGCCCTCAATACCTCTGGGACTATCTACTTAATAATCACTCTGAGAGAAATCTTTTAATGAATAATCTTTGAAGATACTAACCATCGTTGCCAACAATGCAACAAAATAAATGTCATTATTAATTCGGTCACTTTTTATTCTCTCTGTCTTAGTCTATTAACAAAACATTTTTGAGATCCAAAAATATTAGGTTTTAAGTGTATTTTTTAGTTTTTTTTACATACATACATACATACTACATTTCTAAATACACACTACATTTTCAGATTATCAAATATTATTTTAACATAGGAGCACAGCCGTAGTATATTACCTGGGTTGGCGAGGGGGGATCTACCCTGGGGACCAGCACCTGGATGTGAGGCGGCATTGTTGGGTGACCCATTGTTGTTTCCATGGTGTTGCAGGTGAGTTGGGGGCTGGCCATGATGGGGATGGTGGTGCATGTGGTGACTGTGATGGTGATTGTTGTTCCCAGGGCCGACAGAGTGATTGTTGTTATTATTGGGCATAATCATTCCACCATTTTTACTAGGAGGTGGGCCGCTGTTGCCTGGGTTATTATTGGGATTGTTGCGATCCCACATATTGACAGTCTTGTTGTAGGTGTTGGGATCACCCCAGGTGGATGTTCCATCGTCAATCTCCATCTTCCTGCGGATAGAGGGAGGGGAGGGTTCTTCCCAGCCAGTGGGCTCCATGCCCTGGTCCTGTTTGCTGACATTGCCCCAGCCAGAGGGGTTTTGTTTCACAGAACCAGGACCACCCCAAGAACCAATGCCACCACCCCCTCCACTGCCAGTGCTGCTGCTGCTGCTTTCCTGGGGCTTGGAAGAGCCCCAGCCTCCCTGCACTGGGCCATTGCCACGTGAGTTATCCCCCCAGCTGCTATTAGTCACAGCAGGAGCAGGCTTACCCCAGCCTCCTCCTCTATTTCCTCCTCTAGGGCTTTCCTTCCATCCACCATTTCCTGCATTCCCTCCTTCTCCTTCCCACATGCTGCTGGAGGACCCATTGTTCTTGACCTCTGCTTCTCCCCATTCCCCTGTGTTGGATCCATTGGAGCCCCCATTACTGTTACCCCAACCATGGGAGCTTTTGGGGCCTTCTCCCCAGTTAGTAGGCTGTTTTTTTGTTAGGCCATCATCCCAACTGGGTGACTTGTCCTCAGAACCCCACGATGGTGTGCCCCCATTCTTAGGACCATTGGTAGGCAAAGGCTCTCCCCAGCCACTGGTAGTACCATTTGGGGCTTTGCTGAGTGACTGTTGCGGTTCTCCCCATCCTGATCCAGTCTGGATTGGCTGAGGTGGAGGGGGTCCCCAGCCAGAGGGTGATGATCCGTCACTGTCACCCTTTCCTCCAGATGCAGACCTCTGACTGGAGCCAATGCTAGGGTTGATGGTACCTCCATTAGTGGATGAGGGTCCACCATTGGAACTGGAGCCTCCTATGGTGTCTGAGCTGCTGTTGCTCTTCCCATCATCAGAGTTGGCTTCTTCCATCTCCCATACAGTGTGCTGTCGGATGGGGGTCTGTCCCCAACCCGAGTTGCTCAGCACCCTAGGGTCCAGGTCCTGCCGGGGTAGCAGAGGGGCGAATTCCATGCTGGAAGACCTGTCTCTGTGGGATCGACCTTCACTGCTGTCCCCACTACCCTCACTTGCTGGGGCTGTTCCAGGCTGCTGGCCCCATGAACTAAGTTGCTGCTCTTGGCCTGAACCTGAACTACCAGCATCTACTGAGTCCCAACCTTTAGATCCATCTCCACCCCCAGAAGATTTTCCCCAGTCACCCCAGCCACCACTTCCACTACTCCCTCCACCACTGCCTTGTCGGCCCCAGGCAGAAAGGCCTCCAGAAGGAGTTGAGTCCCAGCCTGAGTCCTTGGGGGAGTCAGCTGCCTTTGTTTCTCCACCACCCCATACAGAGCTGCCTGTTGTATCCCCATTGAGCTGGGATGATTCGGTGGGTGATTGGCCTCCCCAGCCAGTTAACCCATGGATAGGGCTCATAGGCTCCTGAGCTTGTTGCTGTTGCTTAGTGTGGTTTGGTCCATCAGTGTTAAGGTTAGCAGGTTCCATATTGAAGGACAAGCTTGTGTTGGTTGAAGGGTGTTGTTGATCATTTTCATTAGCACTAATCATGCCAACCCAACCTCCCGCACCATTATCCGCACCTCCTAGGCTCCCATTTCCCATGTTCCCATTGCCATTAATACCTGGTGGGAGAGATGAGGAGTTGGACACCCCATTGGGACCAATACCACCACCTCCACCACCTTCATGGCCCAGAACAGGCCAGGCTGATGGGTTGGCATTGGGATTGAGGTTCAAGTTAAAATTGGGAGAACCCCAGTTATTGGGCGCTCCAACTCGGCCACCATTGATACCATCTTGTTTCCCATCCAAGCCCCAACCTCTATTACCAGCTAGTGTGTTGGCTGACCCAGGTCCCGTCATCATGTTATTGTTAGCTTTAAGAGAGGGGTAGTGGGCCTGCTGGCCTGCGGCACCTGTGGCCATACTCAGAAAACTACAACTACTGGTGGTAGTGATAGCACTGGTGTCCTGGTTAAAGCTAGCTGAGCCCAAGGGGCATTCTGGTGCTGCAGGGTGGCTGTTGTCACTACTGCGGCTGATGGAGGGCCAAGCTTCTGTGTCACTTCCGTCAATAATCACTTTGTCCCAACTGTTGGCACTGGAGAAGCTGTCAACTGGCAAAGATGCTCCCCAATGAGAGGTCTCATACTGGGCACCAGGGCCACTCTGGAGGGATATGTCTAAAGAGAAAAAGGGAGGGGAACAGAGGAATACAACACAAAAGGTAGGTGGAGATGATGAGTAAGAAAGAAACAAAAGAGGATTTGAGTGACAGAAGATGCAGAAATAAAGAAAAGATTATTAGGAGTAGAGACAAAGGGTATAAAAAAGAAAAAAACAGGGTGGAAAGGGGGGTGGGGAGGGGGAAGAAAAAACACTTTAGGTTAAAATAGACTACATCATGTAATACAGCCCCTGTTAGTCCCATAGACCAATTTTATCTTCTTGGTTGGTTAATGCTAGCTATCAGACTTGGCAGGATGAGATGGTCACACTTGCACGTTCCACGATTCAACACATAATCAGAATGCACAGCCAAGCGTGCTACATGTCATATCAGCTATGGCATATCCATATATCCTTGCCCTGGTGCAGTCAGGCAAACAGAAACAGGGAGAGGGAACCCTTGCGTTCTTTCCTTTACCCATCATTCTTTCCTCCTCTCTTTCGCCTTGACTTTTCATTTCCTTTTCCATTTCTCTTTCCAACTTGTTTCCTCTTCCCTCGCCAACTTGTTTTGCCCCTTATTTCCTTGTCACTCTCTAGCTACCCTCTACCATCATAACTACCTCCCGCCTCATCCGCCTCATCCCTCTCTCTCTGTTCACATCTCCTCTCTCTCTTTCTACCCCCACCTCTTTCCTCACCCTTTAATTTCTCCCTCTCCCCTCTGCTCTCCCCTAACACCCAGCAGTGAGAGGCCCATCCGTCTCCATCGTGGCTTCGCTGGCTGGGGCTGTGAAGGGAAGCCCAAGTGGAACGCCGCTCATTTATTGGAATGAAACCAGGACGGCTTCCCATCCATCACTCCCTACGCTCCGCCGGGCCTACTCCTCCTTCAACTGCACTGCACTAAGAAACCACAAAACATTTCCTTCAAGCTTGTGTGAATATGTGTGTGTCTACTGGCTTCTCTCTGTCTGTGTGTGCAATAATTCCAGATGAGCTTTTAACACATTTTGAGATGCATGTTAATCTTGTTCTACTACTTACAGACTTTAAGCATGATCTACAAATTTAGTACCACGCTAGCAAAAACGGGGCTTTTCCAACAATTTTCTAATCAACATTGTATTGCACACAAGCAATTTCATTAGGCACAAGAGCATCCCATCAGAAGGGGACCTAATAATAGACTGAGTCAATACTGTAAAGGAGTAATCAATCAGTGGGAGGCAGCTAATCAATGATCTTATTAATTCTAGTGGGCAAGAGCAGGGAGGCTATCGATCCAGCATGCAAACATCCTAACCACTAGGCCAGCCTCATGTAATGGGCTACAAAACCAATGAGAACTACTTCTACGAATATCACCAGCATACAAGCCAACCAAACATGTGAAGGAAAAAAATCATCCAATTACTTCTTGATAAGAAAGGAAAATTAATGTTTATTATGAAGCAGCCAAAATGTGTACATGAAAACTAGATATTTTTCTGAGTTGGGTTGTTTTCCAACTTTCAGCAAAAGTGGAAGTGTCAGTGGTAAAACAGTAGATATGTCACTGCATGTACAGTACTATATATTCTAATACAACTTAATATTTTTATAAAAATATAAACACCCAATAAGTTTTCAAGGTGGCTACAACACATTAAATATAATCAAAGTGCAATTCCAGACCATCTATAGTACATCACAGACAGCCATTTTCAACGAGCATTAGAAGCCTAATAAACAATAGTAAATTCGTGGCTGGCTACCCTACTGAGCAGCTGCAGTAAGCGTGGCTCACTAACCTTTAATTATTAAGGCCCAGGCTGTGTTCGTAAAATATTTGCCTTGTTTGGTAATTAAGCTGCCGTAACTTCTATTACTCCGCCATTAGCTTCCATCAGAGTGTTTCAGTGATTTCAATAATAGAGAGAAGATATCCATCATGAGATAAAGACCCAGTGGTCAAAACAATCCAGTCAGATGAGGGAAAAGTCTGACAAATACTGACAGATATGTGGCTTTAAGACACTGTGCAACACGCCAGAGAGTGGCTGTGAATGCAATTTTCACCTCAACACACTTATCTACGCTCCCCAGGCAGCCTTATCGCACAGGGTTGTCAGACTGATGGCACACACACATAAACACCAACACTAGTCTGCAGTCAGTTTGCAATCAGTTGCACACATTAAAAAACTACTGCAACATCATATCAAAAAGGATCCGTCACGAATGTTGTACCAGTACCAATTCTTTTTGATGAAAGTAAGGAGTTGTGTAAACTAAAAAACAAGCCAGATGTGAACCTTCAATTAGAAAGTCTTTAATTGGACATTGAGGAATAATTTTGGAGGACATTTAAAGGTCATGAAAGCCAACTCCAGTATAGTATCTCTGTTTCCTGACCTACTGAATGGTGATATACATTGATGTTATATTTATATATCGGAAAGTAGATAATGCAAGAGAAGTCACCATAACCACTTGACTGTATTCATTGAACAGATGGGTCAGAGGTTCCAGTTTGATTACTTTCTCTCACGTTTTGAAAAGGGGGGGGGGGGGGGGGGTGAAAAGAGAATGACCTCTCTACATTTGTCTTAGTTACAAACCATTTTTTACATGCATATAAATTGAGGTGTTAATGTATCAAATATCCCTGCTTGCAACATGAGGTTTGAGATCCACCACAGTTGAATGTGTAAAGTGTGTGTGTTTCATGAAAGGCGGATTTGGCAACTTTTCAGATCTACTGATCTGGCATATGACTGCTTGCCACCCAGTCAACACAAAAATGAAACAAAACCCAAACAGCTTATCTTTTCAGTTACTAGTGCAAGCTTCCAGTGGCTTGTAGGTGCTTTTTAAACACAGAGAGAAAAACATGACAGCATCATTAAAAGCCACCGATGTTACTCCCTTTCTGCTTTGTTCCAGTTCTGTCAGTGCTAGCAAAGAGGAGCTCCATTTTATCAGAGCTGAAACATAGCCAAGAAGCTCAGAGGCTGCAGCCCCAGGAAAAAAATTTTGGTGACCCCTCACCCACCCGGCATATCTTCCTCCCTTTGTCTCAGTCTCAATTGCATATTTTGTTTCCTAAAAAGCATTAATATAGGTTACATAATAAGTTAATCAAAGTCTGGAAAGCAAACATCTATTTTATATCTCTCAACTATGAACAAACTGAATTTCAAACAAAAAAGCCTACATAAAAAAAAAACTGGAAAGAAAACAAAGTGTGTGTTGCCTGTGATAGAAAAGGGGTCATTCAAAGAGAGAGAGAGAGAGAGAGAGTGAGAGTAAGAGAGAGAGAGAGTGGAAAAATACCTGAGGAGAGGTGCACCCGCACCACTCTCAAGAGTGCTTACACAGATCCATGCAAGAATGAGAGACAGCACACATCCTCTTCGTATGTGCGTAGCAAGCTACCCAGTCAAACCACAAAATCTTCAATAAAGGCTAATACACTGCTGCTGCTGGGCAACTGAGCTTTATCTCAGACCCACACTATATGTAGTGTGTGCAGCCATTTGTGTAATTGTGTGCAATGTAAATAGCAAATGTTGGTATCTGCCTCAACAAAAATTAAACATCACAAGCTCCACAAAAGGAGCATTCATCGCAGGACTATCGTATTGGATTTGATTATACTGTATAGGTGTTAATCCTATTGTGTCTTCCCTGGTAAATAAGTATGTGTGCAAGGACTAATGCAGAACAGACTCTCTTCCTTTTCGCATCAACATGCCTCGATTGTCCCCCTTTTCAACTCCCTCTACAGACATTCCAACAGAAAGGTCTTGCTGATTCTTGGCAAAGCACTGATTTTGTGTGTGTGTGTGTGTGTGTGTGTGTGTGTGTGTGTGTGTGTGGTGTGAGGTTGGTGGTGGGGGTGGGGGTGGGGGGGGGCTTGAACAATGAAAAACAAAGAAAAGGGGACAATTATTTCCATCCACCGTTTGCAGTCATGTGTCAGTAATGCGTTGCTTCTTTCATTCTGGTTGCAATTAGGAGGGCAGTCTCTGATTATGCTTTGTGAATGAAAAGGGTCAAAAAGAAAAACAAAGGGGCCCCCGATGGCTCCTCACGCTTCCAACAGCGAGCAGAGCAGCCTTTTTGCGCGCATGCATGTGCAAACAGATTTCTACACAGAACCTGGACGACAACTAAATTATACCAAAAATTATTCTAATGATGAGTAAATCAGCAGTGCTTGTTCTGAAAAAGTTAAATTAAACAACAGCAACAACACATTGAAGCTGTGTGAAGCCAGCTTGAGTTGAAGCAGAAATAACCAAGAGATGAGCTGATAATGAAGCGAGCTGCCATCATAGAAACGGGCAGGTAGCCAAGAATTAAATACCTCCCCTCCCCTTTGAATGAAATGAAAGGCAGGGTGACAGAAAAAGAGGAGGAGAGGGTGGTAGGGAGAGATGGAGGAAAGTCTGGGGGGAGGGGCTGGCACTTGCAGTGACAAGGGGAAAGAAAGGGAGATGGTGAGAAAGAAACATGAACAGACCAAGAGCGATGGTGTGGCAATAAATGGATTCTTTAGTTTGACTGCAAGACACAGACTAATCTTAGTTTTCTCAGAGCAAACTGTGGGGTGACATAATAACAGAACCAGAGCAGAAGGGGAAGTTTAGCAGTCTTTTGTCCCCAAACAGACCCTCTCCATCAGTCTTTAAGGGGAGCTTTACGCCCACTTGCATCAAAGACGGCATGTACTTGTTTTTCCCGGAAGCTGGGAGAAAAAGAAAGAGGGAATGGTCACAGGAGGGTTTACAAAGCTCATCACTCATGTCTGTTTACCTCTGCTGAGGGAAGAGAGAAAATAGAAGAGCAAGACCATGGTGACTTCTCTGGTTTCCCTGACAGAACCTGGATTAATGAAGCCACTACGGGGTTCTCTCACTTGTGTGCGTATATGTGTGTCACTGCCTGAGCACATGGGGTAATCTATACCGCCTTGGCTTCATTATAGCCAAGTAGTCTTGTGATTATATTATGATATGAAAACATACAAATTTAAGATCTAAGTGGTAGTTGTTTTTACATCTTAACGATACTATTTTTGTTAAACAGCATAGTTTCTGCCTCACTCAGCACTCAATTTCTTACTGAAAGCCTCCACACTTAGCATTTAACTTCAGATATGCTAAAACACCCAACCACTTTACCTGCACATCAAAAGAGCTCAAATGAAAGGGCCAAGTGTTTTAACAGCACCCAGCAGAGTGCCTTCTGGCTACATGCTCTGTCTGGGTGACCAGCAAACAGCTGTTGGGCTGCAGTTCCCACAGTCTTAAGAGCCCCCCACTCCAGCACCTGCTACTGGGGAGCCTGTCTGGACGGCTGCTGGCTGCTCTGGACTACTTAATGGTCCCCAGTCAGCTGGAGAGACGGGGATGGTGGGTGCAACAGAGGGAGGGAAAGGAGACAGGGGGTCTCTGTCTGGTGTTTGGGACAATGAAATGGGGTTGGTAGAGCAGAGGTTATGTGGGAGTGGTGTGAATGTCCTTGAATCTAGAGGGGCATGCCTTTCAGACCTTGGGGATGGGGTGGTGTGTGTGGATAGCCTGTTGGAATGCTACACATTAAATACACTTTGCACAAATTTAATATGGCCTCTAAATGAAGTCAAAGATTTCTGAGCCAAATGTGTACAAAGTCAAAAGAAATGCATGTAACCACCTTAGGACATCCACCCAATAATACTGCAGTACTGCTGGCTTATAAACTAACCTGTATGTGTCTTTTGTGGGGGGAGGTGTTTTATGTGTGTGTGTGTGTGTGTGTGTGTGTGTGTGTGTGTGTGTGTGTGTGTGTGTGTGTGTGTGTGTGTGTGTATACATTTCCCTATGAGCCAGCTGGCCGGCAAGTCAGATGCAGATCTGAGAGGACACATCTAGGTCAGTATTATTACTGCTGCACAGGCACTATATCCATGTACATGTGTTTGTGTTTGCATGTGTACAAGCGCAAAAGTGTTTCAGTATCTGAATGAAGGAACCATCACATCATCACATCCCTTTGGGCCACAGTAAACTCTCCAGTGAGGTCAGAAATGTGTCCCCAAAACAGAGTTCAGAGAGTTCATCTCTTACACTTACACTGAGAAGGACACTTTGTCTCTGTACTTGCAGGTAGTGAACGTAACATAATACAAGAACATAACATATCACTGTGATTTAGATGTTTTAAAAATTGACAAATTTAGATTTAGAAAAAGCCATAAATGATTCTCCTACCCATGGAATTAAGCCATGTACTTTGTTTAGAGCTTACTTTCAAGTAAGCTTACTTTCAAGTAAGCTCAAAACACAAAGTTTTGAAAGTGTAGTCTGGCAAAAATAGTCAAAAAAGTCATGCATAAATAGGTTTGCTCTGTTGCTACTTCATTTCCATTTTAGATCCTCTATTGCTACAAACACAACTACTGCTGCTGGAACACAGATTTACAAGATACAATTGATGTATGTTTGAGTTATTTCTCAAGGTCTTCTACTACAGAAGTTATAATATGAATAATAAATAAAGCAAGAGGGCTTAGGCCCTCAACTGCAGAGCAGTGACTTTAAGTATAAGGTCCACTCTCTAAAATTATGTATGCCAGAACCATTGCAACAACAGGGCCACTAGCTTGAGGCTATTAGCTGAGCAGACAGGAAAGAACAGGCTGTAGATGGGAGGCCCTTGGGACAAAATGAGAGAGGAAGGAGGTGGAAACTCAGCCAATGGTTACTCTGCCACAGGCTGTGTTGTACTGAGAGGCCCCTGGGAAAACCAGGGGCAAGGTAAAGGCCAAACAGGACAACAACTGCCGGACTAGGATAATAATAAGGACATTATAGGTTAATACACTCAACCAGGGAATCTTAACTTGTCTGGAGCCCATAGGAGAAACATATTCTTATAGATCTAAAGGCTTAGATATATTGCTTCTCTTGAGTGAGTAGAGCCTGGAGCCAAATTTGGATCTTGGCCCACAAATGAGGAAACCCTGCAGTGCACGTCACAGCAGAGAGTAGAAATATCATAATAGAAATTGGAAGTTTCAGTTTCTGTGCTAATGTTTTTTTTTTTTTTTAATGTGAGATAAAAGAAATGGCCTCAATTATCAATGTTTAAATACAGTTTGTGAAATAATGAAAGAAAGTCTAACTCAAAACATTTTTCACTGAATAATTAACTCCACAGACACACATTTTAAAAAGCACCATAAAACTATGTTAGTATATGGACTAATAAATGAGACACAACTTGCAAAAAACAGGCATCCACTGACAGGCTACACAGGCCTTTAGCTTTTGTTTGATGCTGCAACTGGCGGCACAGACCCTAGTATAAGAGCAGCAGCAACTAGACAGAGCATGCAAGGACCAGTTGCGTCTGTGATGCAGAAAGATGTAGTTTGCTGACTAGCTAGCCATGCACCACAGCTGCTGCAGATTTGTTTACTGAGTGCCTGGTGTTCTCCCAGCAAATGTTGAGTCAGTAATGAAAGGCAGCACAGAGCAGCAAAGGAGCATTGATAAAAAGACAGAAAGAAAAAAGTGAGCGAAAAGACAAAGATGTGAGCAGATACTCGTGCTAACTCCTGCTCAAAGCCCTAAAGATGAAAGTGGTACAGAGATATATACAGAGATATCCTCGTACCTAAGTCTTCAAAGTTAATGTGTCATGTCAGAGGAAGTGAGGTGGTGCAATCTTTGTGTCTGTGTACATCATAAGCAGATGGTTATGACTGCTTTACAGACAGAAAAATAAACATAAAAACCATTCAGAAGAATCCAAGGATGTGTTTAGGAAATAATAATGAAAATCAAAAAATCTTGAGTGTGCATGTGAAAAAAAAACATCCAAAACTGATACAAATACAGCTATAGTAATGATATAAATATAACATGGCCATCAATATATTACTTGCATACAAATACACACAAGCCAATGCACAAAGAGCACCTTAAGGCAGGTTCAGTATTAGTGACCTTAGGGGCCACTGGTGAGTTCATTAAAATTCTACCACTGGCTACAGAGGTCTGAGTGAATGTGTGTGTGTGGCCTGTGAATCAAGGAAAAGCATGCAGAGGCTGAAACAACTGAACCATGTTTTTCTCACTTAGATTAGCACATCTAACAGGGTTTTCCTAGGCTTTGAAAGAATTTAGTGTTATTACTGCCAGTGTAATAAGCACCGGCATCCGAACTTGCATTATAGCAACAATAATAGCACAGACCTACTTTGGAAACAAGCATACATCTATCAGAATCCTTTCAGAAGGGGAGAGCAGAGGTAGCAGCAATTGAAAACAACTAAGAATTAAGCCTTCAGTTTTAATTCGGTCAGTCTAACCAGATAATTTAGGATCTGTATCTTGTCATTATTCTATGCTGATAAGACGTTTAGGGGTGCTGTTATACTACAATGATGATAATCAACATAATTTATTGTGCCTACAATGCAGTAAATTTATGTATCTATCCATCCATCATGTTACATTCATTTTTCAAAATTTTGGAAAATCAAAGTGAGAATAACAGATAATGTTGAAGCAGAATGTTAGATATAAAGGATGATTTACAAAAGCTCAGAGTGAAATTTCACTAGAATTGCAGCCAAAATACAGCCAACATGCACTCAAGTGAAACATGAGAAGTGAAAAAAAAATCAAACTGAATGAAGTTTTAAGGCAAAATAATTTGCACACAGCCAGCATTCAAAAGGTCTAATGTAAAAAATGATCAGAAATCTATTTCAGGGAAATTTTTTTTTACTAAACTGACACAAACCTGGGTGGCGTTTGCCCGCAGCGGACGTGGCAGAGTTTGGGGTAGTGCTGCTGGTACTCGTAGAAGAAGAAGAGTAAGATGAGGAGGAGGAAGAGGAGGAGGAGAGGGTGAGAGCGCTGAGGGCTCCTGCAGGCAATGGCTGGCCTCTCTTCAGTAGCTGCTTGTGCTCCTGCTGGCGGAAGCGCGGGGGCACCTCTCTGGGCGGGTAGCGAGCACTGGCAGAGGACAACTGGCACTGCTGCTGAGGGGGAGTCTGAGTCGGGAGCTGGCTACTGGAGGAGGCGCGCTTGCCATTGCCAGAAGAAGAGGAGGAGGAGGAGGAGGAGAGGGGCAGCGTGGGGCTGGCGGGGTGGAGGTGGTGGGGTGGGCCGGGACTGGGCTTAGTGGGAGCAGGCTCTGGCACTGGATGGATACAATACACAGGCACACACACACACACACACACACACACACACACACACACACACACACACACACACACACACACACACACACACACACAAAAAGACATGCAGGTTGCAAGGTATTAATGTCTGGGTTAACTCACTATTAGTAAATTACAATTGGCACTGCTGACACTGGACAACTGGTGACCAAAAATAGGAGTTGAAATTATTTTCTTGAGGCAGGTCCTGATGTTGAAATGTCTGTCAACCTCTACACAATGATGTTTTCCTAAATTTGAGTCTTGTTTCGTCAGTTCCTTGGTAACCCAAATTATGTTTTTTCATATTACAACGTTACCATGAGAATTGATAGCAGAGCATAGAGAATAGCCAGCCAATCAAGTCACATTCGAGCAGTCTGTGATGGAACAGGAGTACAATTAATGATATTACATAGCTATTGTTTTGTGTACTGTATTTTCTGTATAGTACTCATTTAATTGAATCTGTACTGTACTGTACTTTGGTGTGGACTATCCCTTTAAGTAAACTGCCTCATGCAGCCTGTTGTTGAACATATGTTACTGGCCCAGACGCACTCTATGAAAAGGTCATATTTTTTCTGCTGACTGAACACAGACACACACAAACACACAAAGACACCTCCTTTCCTCTTCATTACGCTCCTTTCTCTCGCTCTTTCTTCACTGACTCTCACACTCAAACACACACACCTTTCTCTGCTGGTTTGGCCTCAGTCTGACCCTTTCCCTGTGGTTGCAGTGACCAGCCAGCCGTCTAATTGAGCGTTAGCCTGAAAGGTGTTATTATTAGCAGGACCTGGACAGCTAGCAACCAAACAGATTGGCCTGGGTAAAGTTTCCTCTCCAGGGTGCTGAAAGACTGAAGGGAAAAAGTGTCTGACCTATACAAGGAATAATTCCTATTGAGAAAGCTGGGGGGGGGGGGGGGGGTGCAAGTCTGTGGCTGTCTGCACTGATGACTGCAAGTATCGGTAGAGAGGGAAACTCAAATAAGTCTGGTATAGCACTACTCTACTTGAGAGTTCCCTCAAATATAAATAATAGCTGCTTTCATACTGGCTGCCAATAGTAACCTAAAGAGCTGCTTTAAATCACAGTTCCTTGGTCCATGGGTAAATACATGATGAATAGTTGATGATGTTGTTTTCTATAATCCCTTGATAAATTCGATATGATTCTAAACAACAGCTGAGACCGTGTTCACTCGAGGGAGGGGAAAGAGAGAGAGACAGAAAGCTTTTTAAAAGAGGGAAATAAATGGGATAGAAATAATTTTTTAATTAACGCCTCAGTCTGTCCAGTATGAGAGTCAGAACTACATCTATGGCAGTCCTATACTGCAGTGCTGGCAATCAACCACAAAGTGACACGCACACACAGGCCAACACTGCCACACTGGAGGTTAAAGTAAATTCAGAGTGCAGAGGTATTCACTTTGCCTGCCAAGAGCCTGTCTAAAAGCACAGCTAAAAACAGAGGCCCTCTCAGTGAGCACAACACTAATCCAGATGGCTGCCTACCTGCTGACACACAGAGAGAGAAGTGATATGTAGGAAACTTGAACAGCATTAACACAGACAAATTCAAAAGCTATACACCTAGAACGCTACGTTTGCATAGTATTTGGAAGCAAAACAAGTCTTTTTTTTTTTTTCTTTCTTCTATTGGCGGTCTTCACAGACAAATATGCCTTTTGCATTTTCGAGAAAACATACAAATGCATTGCACACACACATTCAGGCAAAAAGACACTTTCACAGTGGTTTTCACCCCCTTCCACCACTGAGATTTTAGTCAAACACACATGCAGAGAGAAAGCAGGGAGAGAGGGAACAAGCCTGCCCTCCTCCAGCAGTATCTGACTGGCTGTTGGCTTGGAACTGCAGCTGGTGACGCACATCTCTGATTAAATTCAGCTCAGCCCGCCTGACACCGCCTCGGCCAATCAGTTAGCAGGAAGGTCAATACACGCCGCCCTACCCCCTTTCCTCTGTGTCCTCCCCAGTCCATTTCTACCCCCCCCCCCTCCTCTGTCTTTCCATCAGTAGGTTGCTCCAAAAACCCCACAGCTCTGTCTGTCCTTCCTTTCTTTTTCCTGTCTACCTGTCTTTCAGCCTGGTGTTCTGCTTGCCATGTTATTCTCCCTCTGGGCCTTTATCCATGTTGATCCCTCATCTCTTGTGTTTCTGTCTCTTTTCTTCCCCATCTTGCTCTTACATTTCCATTTCCTCCACTCCAAATTTCTACCTTCACCCAACCTCTCTCTCTTCTTTATTTCATCTCCTTCAACTCAAACCACTTTTTCTACAGAGAGCACATTTTTTGGCCTTCGCTACATCTTTCTGTCTCTCCCCCCTGCTGCTAGGTGTTAACACAGTCTATTAACCGTTTAAAGAGCACAGAAAGCTTAAACTTGGTTCTAGTTTTTGTTATTGGACCCCAGTGCCAGCCATCAAAAAGGGGCTCGACTCAAGGTTGTATTTTCCAATAGCCAAAGAAACTACCAGGATGTAGTTTGCAGTATTGGATGCTCACTGCTCAAGCAGAAGCCTGGCGACTGGGAAAATGTGTGTTTAATATTCAGTCACATTACAAGCACATACCTGTTGCTAGGAAAGAAATTTGTTTAAAAAAAAAAAGAAAAAAAAGAAATCAGCCAAGTCCCAAGTAGTTGACAAGTGTGAAACAAAAATTTAAGTTGACTGTATTTACTAACCATTATGGTACATATGAACCACATAAAAAACATTTAGCAGGTGTTTTAGCTTTCTGCTCCTTTCAATCTCCTTCTCCAACTTGGCAAATAATCTTTCTGACAAAATCAGTCGCACAACAGTTTGTTGTCTCAAACAAAGCCATTCCTTTTTCCTCTCACACACAAAAATGTAAATTCTTGAGATCCTGAAATCTGTCTTTAGTTCCTGGGATAGTTCAGTCAGTCGGCTCAATGTTTACTGCGGCTGCCATACAGGTACAGGAAGCAGATGAGCCCAGAAGACAGATACAGACAGACACAAAACTCCTGTAACTCAAGCATTTCTCATACACACCCTCCTTCATACAACCTGTGTTTGTGTTGTTGTTGTTGTAGTAACAAGGGCGTATCCATGGTGTAAATCCCTTATGTCACAGTTATCTAATTTCCAGTAGACAAGCTATGGGTTTAAACCATATTGTCATAAAGCTGTTAAATTACATTATTCTATGTATTGTGATAAAAAAAAGCTAAAATCATCTCTCATTTTTTCAAAACAAAAAGTGCTGCTACAACACTATCCAGCTGGGTAATGTGTAGCCATCTTTGGTGTAATCCGTATTTAAAAAGTGTATCAGCGAGAATGAATGTTCTCTTGTGGGTGGGGGTATGTGCATAAGCACACGCCTAGAAATGAGACAGCAAAAATCTGACTGCATAGAGGCGGGGAAAAAAAGTATATGGTGGAGAAACAGTTCTTCTCTGCTGTGAACAAATATAAATACATGAACTGAGACACACCTTTCACTTTGAGGAGGAGAGATCTTTCCTCTTAATCCATGATGGATGGATAAGTGCTTTTGAAGAGATGTGGGTGGGGTTACCGAAAATGACTACCAAGGAATAAATTGTAGAAAAGTGGGGAAATCCCTCAGATGAGAGTGTGTCTGTAAAAGATTAAATGAGGAAAGTGAAGTTTATGCTGGTTACACTAATTGCCAGTGAAAAGTAATGAAATCCACACAGTCAATTAGTGAAGTAGCAATTTATTCCATTTGTACTCAAACGACTAACAGCTTTTCAGAAACAGGGTTTCTCTGCTCATCAAGCCCGTAAAGCAGGTTTAGTTTATTTTTATGACAACCAAATTGAAACCTTCTGATAACATTTTCAAAAAAATCTGAAAATCTACAAACTGATAGTTTAAGTGTTTCTTAATGATGTTACACAAAAGCGCCTTGTAAAATGGAAATTTTGCCAGAAATCAGGAGGTCACCAAATTGAAATCCATCAATAATAGACATTAATAACGTTTATATATATTATCTTGATAACAATCCAGTACATGATGCAAGAGACAGAGATATGGAAAAGGAAAACAATGCTGAAAATGAGCCTTTTACCGTCTTTGTAGCGGTAAATATAACAATGTTTAAGTTACAGCAGTCCAAGTGTTGTGTTGTGAAAACCAAATATAGACTTCTACGTGTTAGTGACCTTACTACCTCTAATTGAAGTTGAAAAGGCGAGCCAATTAAATAGGCATTCGTATCAAGTGCACTGTAAATTCTATTAAACCCTCCAGCTGAGGCACTCTCTGCAACCTTGCACCAAACTTTTAATTACGGCTGTTCCTCACACTAAATGGTTAATTACACACAATAAGAGAGACCGGGAGAATGAACAACCGCTAAAGAATAGAGAGCAAGTAAGCATAGATGAAGGAAAAAAGCATACAAGGCAGAGGGAATTACATAAAGGAATCAGATATAGAGTATAAGAGACATCACTGGAAAGAGGGTAGGGTATCTGTTATTGTGAAGAACAATTGTGATTGGTTCCCTGAGCCAAGTGCCAGGCAGCGCAGGTTCCCACATCTCTTCTGTCTATTGTCTGCAGAGCCACTTTATTATGCAGCCGTGTTTACAGAAGGGGGAGGGATGGACACAACACACAGGCCTATATATATATATATGCCCTACACAATGGTGCATTTCTTAATCCAGCAAGAGCTAAGAGGTAGGAAAGGTAAATACAGCATGTTTAAGTGGGTTTACATCTGTCTACAACAATTTCATTTATATTTATATAGGTATACAATTGTGTGCATCAATGTTTTCATTTCTTTTCAACAGGCAAAAGAAAGGAAGCATGTCATAGATGGGT